GGATTTGATCTTTGTTTTACTTCTCGTTGAAAAGCAGAATCAGTTGTTGATGAAGAATCATAAGCTCGACCTACTGGGGCGACTATTGTGCTTGAAGCACACTATAGCACAAACCAACGCCCAAAACGTCAAAAGAGGCGTGGTAGAGGCGGCTAGAAGCCACCCCGCCAAGCTCAATAGAGCCAAGGCCCATCTAAGGGAGGAAACAAAGCCCGAAAGTGCCCTAACCTTGCTCCTAAGGCCCCAAACTTCAAGAATAAGGGCAAAGCACCTGAAACCATGGATGCAGACTTGTGCTATCGTTGTGGTTCAAAGGACCATTGGTCCCGTGTTTGCCAAGCTCCCTAGAAGGTTGTAGCTAAATATCATTCTTGTTGTAAGAAGTTTGAATCAAACTTTGTGCAAGTGGACGAACCAAAGAGTACCAAGATGGAGGTTTCTGACTTTCAGAAGAATAACACCCCTATGGAAGATTAGAATCTTAGACATTAACTATTTTTCTAGTTGAAATTTAGACAATGGGGCTGAATTCCACCTAGTGGCTGAACCCCCTTGTGTTGTTTGGTTAATTTTGAACAATTTTCCCTTATGTTTGGATTATTCGTTGGTGATTTGTTTTTTGATATTAAGTTTTTAACTAATTACCATCCTTGAATACTTAAATTATTTTGAATGGTTATTTGTTATAAGAACTTTTATGCTTGTGGCTGATTCAAATTAAATTTTATTCTACGTATGACTAATGAGAAAGTTAGTTGTCTGGCAAATAGTGCAACCACGCACACCGTTTTGCGTGAATGCATCTATTTCACTAACTTCATACCTAAGAATGCACCTCTAATAACCTTGTCAGGCCCATCCAACCTGATCGAAGGATATGGTAAGACACGTATAATGTCATCCAATGGTACAATTTTGACCATTGATGAGGCACTTTATTCTCCGCGTTTCGGAAGAACATTGTTAAGTTTCAAGGACATTAAAGATAATAATTATCATGCTAAAACCTATGTAGAAAATGGAGTTGAATTTATGTGCATAACTACCTACGAATATGGCCAGACACGTATTCTAGAGAAGATGGAGTGTATCCTGAATGATCTATATACTATGACTATACGGCCCATAGAGAGCCACTATGTGGCCGGCCGTACCTTTGGGACCGTGCACAAAATTACACTTTGGCATAATCGTTTGAGACACCCTAGACAAACAGCGATGCGCCGTATCCTCAAATCATCACACGGGTATCCATTAACCCGAAGTTTAGGTTCGATTCAAGGAATCGCATGTCAAACATGTTTTATGGGAAAGCTTATTATTAAGCCTCCTTATGACAAAATTCGTTCGAATCTTCTTATTTTTATACAAAGGATTCAGGGGGACATTTATGGACAGATTCACCCTCTATGCGGACCATTTAGATATTTTATGGTTTTGGTTGACGCCTCCACACATTGGTCACATATGTGCTTGTTGTCCACAAGGAACGTTGCATTCTTTAAACTGTTAGCTCAGGTTATCAAGCTCAGGGCTCACCACCCTGATTATTCGATTGGATAATGTTAGAGAATTCATATCTAAAACTTTTGATAACTATTGCATGTCAGTTGGGGTTGAAGTTGAACATCCAGTACCTTATCTTCACACCCAAAATAGTCTGGCAGATGCATTCATTGAGCACTTACAAATGATTACTCAATCGTTGGTCATACATACCAAGCTTCCGATCGCTGCTTAGGGCCATGCAATATTGCACGCAGCCATGTTGGTCCGCCTGAGGCTTATTACGACCCAACCATATAGCGCCCTTTCAGTTGGTTACCGGATACGAACCTGACATGTCACATCTGTGCATTTTTGGTTGTGCGGTCTACGTGCCGATTTCCCCATCCTTACATACAAAAATGGGGCCTCAACGAAGGATGAGAATATATGTTGGATATGATTCTCTTTCAATCATTTGTCAACCTTTGACAGGTGATCTGTTTACTGCTCATTTCGCGGATTGTCACTTCTATGAGACAGTCTTCCCGTCCTTAGGGGGAGATAAGAATGTTAACATTCCTGAAGAACGACACGAATTATCATGGACGACTCCCACTTATTCTTATTTAGATCCCCACACCACTCAGTCTGAAACTGAAGTGCAGCGCATATTAGATCTCCAAAGCATAGCTTAGAGCATGCCAGATGCTTTCACCGATCTAGTGCGAGTGACAAGATCACATATTCCAGTTGCGAATGTGCCTGTAAAGATGGATGTACCAAATGTACGACGAATTTCCATCCTGGAGGCCCAGGAACTTTGGTGATCCACGTACATTAGCGGCTACCCAATCATCTGCCCTTACACAAAAGCGTTGCAGACCACTTGGTTCAAAGAATTCACACCCCCGGAAGAGGAAACCAATGGCATAAGCATTTGAAAAGCTTATAGTGAATCCAACTATCGCTTACTCATTCTATCCAACTTATGAGGAAATTCTAGATTACGAAAGTGTCCTTGAAGAGACGAATCCACCTCCCGAGAATCATGAGATTTCAATGTATTATACAAGCTTAGATGATGTGTGGTGTAGAAGTGAGATGATCGTCGATGATGCATTAGCATATGCAGTAGCTACTGAGATCATGTTGAGCGATGATGTTGAACCTCGTTCCGTTGATGAATGTCAACGTAGAACCGATTGGTCAAACTAGAAACAAGCAATCCAAGTCGAACTCGATTCGCTTGCGAAACGTAAGGTGTTTGGACCTGTAGCTCATCCTCCTCCACATGTGAAGCCCGTTAGCCATAAGTGGGTTTTCATTCAGAAGTATAATGAGAAGAACGAAATTGTACATTACAAATGTCGTCTTGTTGCGCAAGGCTTCTCACAACACCCCAGGATTAACTATGACGAAACTTATTCACCCGTTATGGATGTGATTAGTTTTACTACCTTATCAGTTTGATAGTTTCCGAAAAACTAAGTATGCAAGTGATAGACGTAGCAACTACGTATCTAGATGGGGATCTTGATATGAAAATTTATATGAAAGTTCCTAAAGGACTTACATTGATTGGATCAAATATTTCCAAACCCCAGACAAGCTTTCAATTCGGTTGAGGTGTTCACTATAAGGTTTGAAGCAATCCGGAAGAATGTGGTATAACCATCTGAGTGAGTATTTAACTAGTAAAGGATATGTGAACAACGAACTATGCCCTTGTATGTTTATTAAGAAGTCACATTCCGGTTTTGCGAATGTTGCAGTATATGTCGATGACATGAACCTCATCAAAACTCCTGAAGAGCTCGTGAGAACTGTCGTGCACCTGAAGTTAGAATTTGAGATGAAAAATCTAGGAAACACTCGAACTGTCTCGGTCTTGAGATAGAGCACCGTTTGGATGGAATCTTAGTGCATCAAACGAACTACACCCAAAAGGTGTTGCGTCGCTTTAATGAGGATAAAGCAAAGCCTTCGAGTACTCCTATAGTTGTTTGGTTGCGAGATGCAAAACGGGATCCCTTTCGTCCAAAGGAGGATGATGAAGAGATTTTGGTGCCTGAAGTTCCTTATCTAAGTGTGATAGGCGCTTTGTTATACTTAGCTTAATGCACTAGACCCGACATCTTTTTCGCTGTTAATCTTTTGGCAAGATACAATAATGCACCAACACGCAGATACTAGACTAGTTTTAAAGACATTTTCCATTACCTTAAGGGTACTATGGATTTGGGTTTATTATATCCTTACGGATCCTCAAGTGATGCTATACCCCCTTATCTTGAGTCGATTCTCGCCTTGTTGGTTATGCTGACACATGATACTTATCTGATTTGCACAAGGCACGCTCTCAAACGAGTTATGTTTTTACCATTGGAGGCATCGCAATCTCTTGGAGGTCAACTAAACAGACCTTAGTTGCCACTTCGTTTAACCATGCTAAAATTCTCGCCTTACATAAAGCAACTTAGAAATGCTTTTGGGTGAGGGCAGTTGTGGACTATATTCGAAGCTCCTGCGATCTTTACCTTGTCGTTGATGTCTCAACGATGACCTATGAAGACAACGCAGCATGCATCGAACAACTCAAGAAGGGTTACATCAAAGGAGCCAACACCAAGCACATTGCACCGAAGTTTTTCTTTTCACATTAACAACAACATCAGAAGATTGCATTCACGCAAATCCGTTCACAAGACAATCTGACTGACCTCTTCACCAAATCACTACCGAAGGCGACATTTCAGAAGCTTGTTTAAGAAATTGGTATGCATAAACTTTCTGAGTTGTAACATTGCTAGTTCTCTTTGGAATTGTGTCAAACTCAAGGAGAGTATCCTGAAGTATACTTGTTTGATCTTAATGTACTCTGTTTCCCTACGATTAGGAGCATTTTTCCCACTGAGTTTTTGCTACCTAACTAGGTTTTAACGAGGCACCTGCCTTGGGTTGATCATATCCTTGATGACGCCTCGTAGACGTTTCATTTGACTTTGCATTTCTCACGCATTTTTCCTTAGACTATGGGTTTTTTCCATACTCAGGTTTATACCATAGCCATATGGTTTTTTAGTGAGACTTAGTTCCTTATGCAAGTTTTTACCTTATTGAGAATAACGTGTTCCCATAATCAGTGCCGACGAGTTGACTTCCTTACCCTCTACATGATGCCGAATCTACTTGAGTATTTACACACTCAAGAGGGAATGTTATAAACTTCTTGTTTAAGTGTGATTGTGTAAATTCTAGAATAGATTTGATTCCAGTTATTCTTTCTTATATAGACTTGTATTCCTTGAAGGAGAATGATTTTTTCTCTTTTATTACTATAAATAAAGGTACTACGTAGGGGAATAACACATCCTCTACAAATTCTTCTACACAACCCTACAAAGCCGCCACCCCCTTCCTTGTCAGATAAAATAGGTTACAACAAAAATCACTTAAATTAAAAAGTGCGAAAATCATTTTTCACGAGACTTTCTAGTTTTTGTACATTTAACTACAGTAACCAACATTGATTTTGGGTTTCATACAATATTTTTGAATAATTTAGAACAAATTCACAATGTGGGAACAAAATTTAGAGCTAACACATAGCCCTCTATAAATTTCAAACTAGTACAATGATGTGAAAATTTATCAAACCACCCAGAGGATCAAACCTCAGAATACAAGGCAACTTACAACTGTCAAAAACTCCTCGACGGAGTGATCCAAACGTATTTATTCTGTTTACATGAGTCCCACAAATCTTTATTCAGAACACTCCACTCAGATTCTACGGACTTTTATTAAGAACGAGCATAACGTACAGAAATTCGCCACTGTATCGGGCTCCTACAAGACGGGCAATCCTTCATGCCCTGTTTCTCGTGGAGCTCATTGCACGTCCTGCAAACCACTTGATGGGCGCACGGGAGGAAGACCACAGACATCTCCTCCGAGAGGCACATGACACACTCCCGTTCACGTTTCACCCCTCCTGTCTCAGTGTAGTCTTGAATATCCTTTACTGCTTCTGAGATGTATGGGATCCTGGACCCCTTGTCATCCAGGCCATTTTCGATATCTGTTACTTCGCTGGAATAGCTTCCATCAATGCCCCTCCGCAACGCAGCAATTTTTGAAGAATCACTCTTGAGTCTCAATTGAGAGATTTCCTTTTCGAGTTGCTGAATATCGTCTTTGTACTTCTGCAGATTGTTTTCTGCTTTCAGTTTAATCGCATCCTCCTCGGATTTTGTTGAAGCCTCTATCTGTTCCCTTTCTTTTCTTATCAAACTGACCTGCCCAACTAGTTCTTCCTTTGATTTCTCTTCCTGTTGCCATCTAGCCTGCGACATACTCTCTCTTTTAGTGAGAAGAAACTCAGAACTAAAAACCTACGGCAGAAAGTAGGAATGAAACTATTGTAAAACCAACAACACAACATTTTCGAGATTGTTTCAAAATGAACTGTACAACACCGTTACATGCTCTTTCTCAAAGTTCAAACCATCGGTCCATCAATCCCGGGTTACAAAATGCCTGTTTGCACACGTGCACATATGTGTGCTAATATAAGCGAATGATAAACTCCAAAAGGAGAAAGCAAATTGATTACATAAATAATCAACAGCTCAAATCTATATAGCAAGCAAATGACAAGACTAAATCATCTTCATTACAAAACATGCACAAGTACCACTTGCATTCCAAACGACTGCACAATCTGTCATCCCAAAGAAGCATGTTATACTTATAAGACGTGTAAATACCAAAAATCCAAATAAAGCTTACATGCATGAATTGCCAATTTGGAGTACTTGGAAATAAAGTATTTACTAAGTACCTCCAATTGTTCCTGGAGATCTTTCGCTTGTTCTAGTTCCTGTAGGAGCTGTTTTAACTTGCGCTTTTCAGTCACAAGTTCTTCATTGAACATGGTTTTCTGCTTCTCCCAGGACTGAAACTTCATCAGTGTTTTCTTCTCCCTCTTTGATACCTCCTGACAGCTTGCAGCGGACTCTGCAGCACGTAGTTTAGCAGCCTCCATTTCCTGCCTCAAGGCAGCATTCTCCACCTCAAGCCTCCGGACAGAAGAATTTGCTCGTTCAACCTGGCTACTAGCCTTGCACAGAGAATTTTCCATCTCAGAAAGCTTCTTCATGGTGTTTTCCTCCAGCGTTTGCTTCTCTTTCTTCAGCCGCTCAACTTCTTCTTTCTCTTGCCTCAATGACTTAAGTTCAGCCTTGTCCTTACTCAATCTACGTGCAGCCTGCATAACCTTCTGATTGGCCCACTCTGTCCACTCTTGGAGCTGACTTTGCAAGTCCCGTGCCCTCGGAACCAACTTTAAAATCATTTCATCTTTCTTGTCTCGGGGAACCCACTGCCCCAAGGACTTATCATACGGTATCCCAGAAAAAACAGAATTAGTTGCATCAGAGTGACAGTTAATAGGAACTGGATTTGAAATGCTTTTTGTAGGCAGAGAAAGGGAAAGCTCAGTATCAGCAACTGATAATGCAGGCGGAGTATTTAGTGCAGGTAATGCTGCTGCAGTATTGACTACAGGTAATGCCATTGAAGTACTGACAGAAGGTAATGGTGTTGAAGTACCAACAGCAGGTAATGCCGTTGAAGTACCGACAGCAGGTAATGCCGTTGAAGTACCGAATATGGACGGGACACTGTTCTTAGGCAAAACAGAAGCAGTGTTGTCAACATCCAGGTTAAATGGTCTAGGGGAAGAAAGCCCTGCATTGGCAGAAAGATTGTTGTTTCCACTGTCTTGAGGCACATCAACTCCCATAGCCTTGCTTATTTTTATGGAAGCATTCTTTAAATTAACAGCAGTAGAGTCTGGCACAGATTTTAGTTTCTTATCCAAGATTAAACCACCCAAACCATTCAGCTTCCCAGCTCTTGAAGACCCTTTACATCCATAAGTCCGATAGCTTTTCTCCAAATGAAGCGACTTGTGCCGAAGCATGTAGTCTCTCTTGGTAGTAACAGAATGGACCTTTCTACTACTTAAAAGCTTTTCCTCTACTGCGGGAGATTGAGATGTTCCAGATGCACAAAAAGATTTATCCCCATTATCAGATGTGGAATGTGCGCCCTCTCTCTCAAACAATGATCCACTATGAACAACAGAATTTTTCGGTTTAGCTATGCTGGGAACCCCTCCTGCAATGGTAGGTTTCTCAGACTGTGAGCTATGAGAACCAGGAACTGAAGGAACTGTCGTAGAATTATTCAGATTATTCAATTCCGAACTTTTGGATTCTGTTTCTGACTGGGGTTGATTCGGGATGGAGGGACTTCCATTTGAAGCTCCATCACCAATGAAACTATTGAAGGGATCGCCATCCATTGCACAAGCATGAGAGACATTCATGTCACAAATCAACAAGCACCACATTGCATCACCAGTGCTGAAGAAAGGCCTAACCTCCCGAAGAACGCAAACCAGTTCTGCCAATATGTACTTCTCCAGCTGCTGTAGATCTTCAAAACAGTGCTCTCTTGAAGGATCAATTTCTTGGCCACTTCTAAGATAAGCTAAAGTATTATCCACTATATTAGACATGGTGTCTTTACACCCATAACAAAGACCAGACCGCAAAACAGCCTTTGTAGCAACTTCTTCTGCATAACCACAAGCAACAATCTTTTTTATTGCACTCTTGAAAATCATGTCCAAATTACTTAGAACAAGCTCTTCAAGTTGGGTTTCTGTGAGGTCACTCCAATCAGCATCCTGAAACTCATCTGCCTCTAGTTCCTCTCTGGGCCGGCTTGGGCCAACCTCGGATGGAACAACAGCATTAGACAATCCAAGGTCGAGTTTCAACCCATCAGAATGGTCTTGATTAACACTGCACAGGTCACAGACACCAATTTGTCCATGACTCTGCGTGATTTCGAATTTTTCAGCTGAAAACTCATAACTTGTGGATTCAGTCTGAGATAAAGGAATAATCTTACTAGGGTAACCTAAAGGCGGATCAGTCCGGAACTTCCTCTTATTTCTACTTCCCTTTTCTTGAACAGTTATCGAGGAAGAGACTTGGGTGGTACAACCATTACTGCCCTTGGCTACCATTGATGCCATTTCAGCTGCACAAAACAATCTAATTTTAATACATTCTCATCTGTATATGCATCGAGTCCTATCTAACAGTTCCGAATGCAATACCAAAACACCAAATTCACCAATTCTACCAAAAATCTATCAAACAACAAACTACTGAAACCAACATTCATAGCTGCAATCAATCAAAATTCCAGCTCGCAACATCATCAACTGGTCAATCTAAACAACCCAATTAAACCCAGATTACTAAAGGTTAAATCCCAGTATTAAAATTAACGATTTTTAACATTCCAGAACCAAAATCAACAAGAACACATCAATCAGATTATGAGAGAGGAAAAAAAAAAAAAAGACTACCCAGAAGCAAAAACTGAATAATCAATCCGTTTGCAAGATACCGAGTTGGATTCAGATGACGATTATGACCTACCAATGTGAAACTCAATACAAATTTCAAACACAAAATCAGGAAGATTAGATCAAAAAAGAAAACTCAATTGCAAAATCTGGTATGTGGGGGTGTTCATGAAAAATAAAGATCTTTAATACAAAATACAAGAATTTGAGGTGATTAATCAGAAGATAGATACGGTCGAGACGCACCCGATTTGAGCTAATTGTTCGATCAATCAAAGGTACGAACCAGTCTCAGAACATCAGAAAATCACAAAGAGAATTTATAGTTGGCTTTTTTTTTTTCCCTCTTAATTATTAGCTTAAAGGGAAATATGAGAGAATTGAACGTCTGTCTCTCTCAAAAGTTTCATTCTGGGGGTAATTTTTTTTATTTTTTTATTTTTGTCATAAGCAGACCAATTAATCAATGTTTTTAACGACCTAAAAAAAAAAAAAAAAAACCAAGGATTGCTGAATTTCAATTTACCAATAACCATATTTAAGGAAAATTAGCCACCAAGCCCATGTAGATGAATTATTTTCATAATCTTGGCCCGTTCCTAATGTTGACGTATTATTATTTTACATATGTAACACTTTAAATGACGTAGATCATTTTTGAATATTTATATTTGAAAATTTGATCTCATTTTTTTTGTATTAAAAGTCTCTTTCTTTACATATAGATTAAAGTAATAAAAAATAATAATTTCGTTTTCGTTTTTGCTAATGATTTTTTTCTCTTATATAATGATATATTTACGGTAATAAATATTTAAATTAATGTTTTTAAAATTAAGTTAAGTTCAATATTTGTACCCTCCATTGTGAAAAAAGAAAAAAAAAAAAGTCAAATCCTTCAGCAAAAGCACAAAAAATAATCAAATTATTACGAGTTTTGAATTTTTATTATTTATTCTATCAATTACCTTACTCCTTATCACTTTATATTAATACTATGGTGCATTTCGGTTTAATACTAATAAATCTCAACAAAGTGAATCATTTGTCACATCATAAAATAGAGAACAAATTTATGCACACATTATGAGTTTGCTAATAATGTTTTTCCTCCTTTATATTTAATTATTTTACACTAGGTGAGGGATTTTCCCCCTATAATGTGACATTTAGCAATTTACAAGTTATGTACATGCACATTGTGGGATAAATTGTGCTTTATTTTTTTTATGGGTAGTGTTATTAGAACACTCTTGTTAGCTTTCATTTCACAACTTTCAATTTTCGACCATCAGATCGATGTGAATTGTGTGGAGCCAAAAATAATCAAGAAGAATATGGAGACGATACGTGTATTTTTGGGTAAAAAGACAAAATTATCCTTGAGGCACACTGAAACTCTCACGTGTAAGCAACGGATAATCACAACTCAATAAAGATCAAAAGTGATCAAAATAGGTATTTATTCAAAACCTATTTCATCCATCCTCATCAAATCCTCCCCACAAGGTAACCCTCCATTATTCATTCAAATTAGGGTTAATTACCTAAATTAATTGATTAATTTCCTAATTAATTAATTTTCTAATTAATTTCTTAATTGATTGCAAGATATTATTTTGACATAATATTTTGCAATTACACCCAAAAACCACCATAAGTGGCCGGACCCTTTTTCTCCAAATAGGGGCTAGCCACGCCCCCTATAAATAGCTCCAATTTCTCCCAAAAACATAATTCCAACTTTCTTACAAAATTCTTCAAATTTCTCTAAACATTTTTCCCTCAAATTTGCATCACTTGAGACTCTTGGCCTTAACCTAAGGTGTTAATTATTTTGCAGGTGCAATTTCATCCAAGAAGAAGAAGGCGGATATTTGCATCCACAAATTGGTGCCTTCATTGAGAGTCTTGATTCACACGCTCGAAAAAGACTTTCGCATTCAAGGTTTCTATTTTTTTGTTCATTCGTAGATTTTTCGTACGTTCTCATTCCTATAATTTTTTATACAAAAATTCTTTGAATAAACGTAAAAGAAATAGATTTTTCGTACGTTCTCATTCCTATAATTTTTTATACAAAAATTCTTTGAATAAACGTAAAAGAAAAGTACAATGACAAGAAATTCAGAAACCACGATGAATAGAACTTCCTATGTTCAAGGATTTGGACCGCGATGATCCGTGAGGCTCAATGCAATGACGAATGGAGCGGCACCTCCCCCATAGGGAACTATTGTGGCAGCCACCATGGTAATAACCATGGCAGCGACCCTCGGCGAGCCTACTGCCCACTGTGAGCAGGCCACCTTGCAGCAGCAAGGCAAGGCCCGTGCCATAAGGCAGCTAACACAGCTCAAGGCAGCCCAGGGTGCTACAATGGTAGTTGAAGCCCAAGCAGTTGCAGCAATTGGAGCAGCCTAGACCTCGCGGGCCCAAAGCTAGCACAAGCCCAGTACGCTCCAAGGCCTAGCCCAGGACCAGTGGATCCAACCCAACCACGCCACTCTAAACCACGCTAGCCCAAGCCCAAAGAGAGCCGGCCTTAGCCTAGACCCGGCGCATGCCCAACGCACACTCGGGACAAGCCCAATCCTCGCACCTACTTGCACCATATAGGGACCAACCCACTCTTGTGGCTTCCTAAGCAACCAAACCAGTCCAAGAACAACTTCAGATTTCTGGGTTGAAGATTGAACCGGGGGCATTTTCACCCTATTTCTCCACAGATTTAACATTTCCCAACTCAAATCTCATGTCTGGAGTCCCTTACACTTCCATTACTTAAAAACACACATTCCATCCAAGCTTTTCTAACCCGAATGTAGAACAACACTTATCTCGACAAGTCATGGAGTTAACAAGTGCCTTTGCAGAGCAGATGACCTTGGTAAACCAGCTCTTGCAGCACATCGAGATGCAATGTGCCCTTGACGAGGTCTCTCGAAGTATGACAAGGGCAAATAAAAAACCTTTCCAGCAGTATACACTCCCAATTGAGCCCTCGAGACAGCGTATACTCTCGTCTTAGTGCGCGGATGAGCGTGCACTCTCGGTTAGGCCCACAGATGATCATACACTCACAAGTTGGGGTCACACTTCGATAATCAACATGAACAACCGTCCAGGCGAATTGTTCATTCGCGGCTAGGCGCAAGGACCATCCTCTACCTAACATCGGAGTAAGCAGCACGACGGACGGAGAGAAGCAGTCACTCAATCCGGCTCAAGTTCAACCGGAAGGTCACGATTGGGCATAAATGAGCTGAACACATGGAAGAACAGCCTAGACCAGTAGGCCATGACTGGGGGCAGTCGAGAGTTTCGTTACCCCAACAAGGGCAAATTCAGGAAAAAGTAGAAAGTTCTTGACCGAATGATTGCACGATTTCCAACGCAATGAGGTCACCGACGATGCACTACTACGGGATATGCCCAACATAAGCAGGTCACTCTTCATCGACGAGATCGAGCAGGCAGAGCCTCTACGCAAGTTCAACATGTCGCATTTCATATCATTCAAAGAGGATGGAGACTTGAAGAGACACCTAAGGCATTACCAAAGCGCAATGATCCTTTATCGGAACAACGACGCTTTCATGTGCAAGATATTCACCATCACTCTACAAGGCGAGGCGGAAAATTGGTTCCACACCTTGCCACCACAATCCATTCGAAGTTTCGACAAACTTTCTTTGGTTTTCACCAACAAATATTCACCATATCACTCGATCAAGAAAAAGCTCGACCACTAGTTTAATGTCAAGAAGAACCCAAAGGAATCGTTTCACGACTATATGAAGAAGTTCAAAGCAGAGAAGGTAAAGATAGTCGGATGTAACGACTCGATAGCTAGTGCAGCTTTCCAAAAAAGGACTCTCAATAGACTACCCACTATTCTAAATGAAAGAAGATCTAACTCTAGCAAACTCTTTTGTTCTGGCAGAAAAGCATGCACTTTGGGACGAGGCTCGCCAATGCACATTCAAGGCAAATCCAAGCAATCTCGAATATGAAGTCCCCTAATATTCTGAAAGAGATTCAAGGTCTGACTAGACGAGCAGCCGCATCTAAAACAACAATAAGCTCTACCCTCATACGAGAAAAGCTGGGGGCCTAACTACTAGTATTCCAGAGTTCAAAAGCTCTCATTAATGAGGAAACCAACTACCAGAAATTCAAAAGCTAACTTTGGCGACATTTGTTGCAACCTAGAAGCTCAAGTTATACCTTTAGACGCACGCAATCATCCTCATGACGCCCTATTTTTCTCCCAATCCAGACATGTGACGATAAAGGTGCAGACACTAGCGGTGCAAAGTTTTTTGACAAATGCAACAACTCAGCCCAAAAAGCACACCAAAAGCAGACAAACACTAGAAGGACACTCGGAAGCAAGTTTTGTCCTCGTCGCCCCAGAAGATTCTACATAGAAGCAACATGTACCGACAGTTGAGCACCACCTCCTGCTGTGCGCCACACAGCCTTAACCGACCCTTGCTTCATAATTTAACTCTAAAGCGGCCTGATACTAGCAGTTGAACATCTCCTGCTACATGTAACATGGCTCCAACTCCACGACTCCCTACGATGCAATAGAGCGACCCAACAACGCTCTGAAGGCAGCCGAGCAAGCCCTAGCGACGCCTGCTTCACCCGATGAAGATTTCTGGCATTTGCACTTCGACGACGCATCCAACTATAAGGGCTCAGGAGTAATCGTGGCCCTTGTTACCCCAAACGGTTCGATGCTCATGCAGTGAGGCTTCAAAGCATCTAACAACGAAGCAAAGTACGAAGCCCTACTAGCAAGCCTCCGAATGGCAAAAGACTTGGTGATGAAAAAGCTTGCAATTCATTCCGATTCCCAGCTAATCACCAGCCAAAATACTAGGGAATACACGGCAAAACATCCAAGGATATACAATACTTAGAGAAAGTACACAAGCAACTTGAGGCATTTCAGACTTACACCCTCACTTAAGTTGCGCGGGCAGACAACGCCCACGCAAACGCACTAGCTGGCCTAGGCTTCGCCCTTAACCACTAACTCAAACGCTCTATCCCGATGGAGTATCTAGATAAGCCAAGCATAGAGGCAAAGCCGGTAACCGAAGTGTCACAGGTTAGTACAACTCCAAATTAGCAAAGTTCTTTTATAAACTACCTGGCCAATGGTACACTCTCCTAAAAAGATTGGAGTCTAAAAAGCTCTAAATAAAGGTAGCACACTACTACATGTGGAACGACATTCTCGCTCGAAAATCCTACAGTGGACCACATCTTCAATGCCTAGCGCATCCCAACAACCTAAAGGTTTTAAGCTCAATCCACGAAGGAGTCTGTGGAAATCATTCCGGAGGTTGATCCTTAATGCAGAAGGCTCTTAACATAGGTTATTACTTGTCTACCATGCA